CCAACCTCAATGGGTATTCGACTGTGTGAATTGCCGTAAACTTCTCCCTGTGGAGGATTATTTCCCAGGGGTTGAGCTTCCGCCCCACTTATCCCCGTTCGTGGAAGAACAAGAGGGTGATTATGTACCCCCTGAGAGACAAGCCATGCTGGAAGAGCAGAGGCAGACGGAAGCGGGTGAAAGTGAGGCTGGACAGGAGAATGAAGAGGGTGAGGAAGTTGTAGGGATTGAATGGTGCTGTTGTCCAAAATACATTTGAGATATTCAACCTTTAAGCTCCGCAGGTTCTCTTTGGTTTATTTGCTGGATCTTCTATTTGGTCAATAGTAGCTTGATTATACAATAGACCGCATTTTCTGTCCATTTACTAACACTGGCACAATAACCCACGCGGGTTGTGGGGAGAACGTGAGAGAAATTATTGTATCAAGAGTCAAAGACAAGTGATCTACAAATTTGTTTAGTGTTCTATTAATATGTCGCGGGTGTGGTCCATCGCTTTTATGAAGGAGCTATGGATAGGTGTGGGTAGTTTTTAGGCCAATCAGAGGGCGTGTAATATCTCATCTATCTTTTGAATATGAATAAATCTCATTCTTTGAAGTAACGCGCTATCGCTAGGACAGAGATTTTCAATCGGAAACCTAGAATAACTACGGATTGCATTGGATTTACTTTACTTCGCTGTTTGATTGGTCCATAAAAGTCGCACTCTCCCTTAACCAATCAGATACAAAAATTAAACTAATCAGGACTTTATCTCGTGCGGTGAACTGCGCTTCAGGCAGTTTGCATCATTTTTGTTCGTTTAATATTCTTATTGGCTACTTGTAATTGCTTTGGTTTAGGTTTCTTCTATACTCAATTGAAATGTACTCTAGTCCAGAGATGTTGGAATCCGGGTGTAGAAATCTTAATTTTGGTATTGGAAGGGAAACTATAAATTTACCTAGTTATTTCGACATTTTTCTTCTCGTTCAGGAACGTCTGGCGAAGGACTCAGCAAAGAAGAAAAGAACCTGGCCATCATGGCGATGAAGAAGAAAGACAAACGATTGTACGACCAAATTATGCATTCCAAGAAGAAAAAGAGATCAGAGGTAAAGTATTAAAATAAATTCTCTTCTAGTTTCTTTGAAAGTTGAGCGAGAAAGACTTTACTTTCCAGATCCTGTTTTTGGCCAAGGGTGCCGAATAATACGAACACCTCTAAAATCAACTTTTTTTGCTATAAGCTAAAGTTTTTAATCAGTTGTATTTTGTTTTAGGTACGAAAACTTGAGGCTAAGCGAAAGGCTTACGACGAGGCACAGTCACAGAAGAAACAAAAGACAAAATGAAATCTCGACATCGAATATGAATTTAATCCCTTATTAAAAAATATGTTACACCAAACTTGTAGATTACCACGTATTACTCTGACGTAACAGTGTAATTAAACGCAATTTTTTTTAGAATTTTTTTTCTACTGTATGATTTACCATTCAAACAATACCTCTCCTTTTTCACGCAGCGATATTTTTTTGCTCCGTTGAGTTGTGCTTTGCGAATAGTGAGCGAAAATTCTCTTGAAGACATAATTTCTTGTCTACATCTTTGGATCAACATAACGCTTTAAGAAGTAACTTAAAATCGAAATCAACACAGTCATATTTTCATTTAGTCGAGGATTTCTCGTTCCCAGCGCATTAACCAACTCGCATTGCCTTGCGGATAAATAGAAGGACCTGGTTGTGATGTAATAAGCGTGAGAAAATGTCTGCGAAGTTACGTGTCCATCACTCCCGTGCCGAAAGAGCCGGTGCAAAGTGCAGGGTGAGGTCGTCCACTTTTGCTAGCAATCCATTTCGCTGATGCTTGCTAATCCCTGAAAGGAAATGATTGCAGCAGACAGTGAAGCCACAACCTATACTTGTCGAATAATATTGTTATATGATGACAAACGAGTGAATGTGGAATATCTTAGAGAATGTTGTAAGTTCAAGTCCTCCTCCAAGATGTAATGTTAGCCCCTCCCAGACCAGGTACCCCCGTTAGCATGTCGTTAGGTTTCTGCGGCAGTTGGGCGGTCCCGAATTACATCCCTGGTAGGAGACAGGCACTTAAGAGATTAACGTGTCTTGCTCGTAAACTCAATTTGGAAACTGGACTTTTCAATGAGGCTTTGAGCGCTGAAAGCAATGAGCTTCGTCGACGCCCACTTTAACCCTTTAAACCCTTAAAGTGACCAACATCTAATTTCTCCCAACAATATCACTCCTGAATCATAAATTAAGGTCACGAGAATGAAGGAGATGATTACCAACTAAAAGTAGCTTTTGATCAGTAATCAAATTCTCCTTGTCAGCCCCTTGGTAAATGTATTAAGAACAGTATGGAGAATATGCATACTGCTGTTAGGGTGTAAAGGATTAAGAGGGCCTACATTTTCCAAAACAGGGTCAGAGCAAATTGCAGCCACCTCATGTTCATGTTAGTATTACACGTGCGAAGGGAACCTAAAATTCTCGTAATATGATACTATTATAGTAATGGCTCATCCGAGAGTATGTTATTATCGCTTACCGTGTTGGTTGTGTTTCCCGGATGTGGTCTCGTGTTGGCGTAAGCCAGAGGGGTTCCTTTGCAATGAAATGCTACTGGTACCTGGAATAGAAGTTTGATACAAGGTAACTGCAATCTAGATTGAAGCTTAGATACAAATTCAGTGTAGTGATCGCGCCTGGCGAAATAACGTGTTTAAGGACACAGTAAACCATGAAAAGATTGTAAAGAGGTTTGCCTGCGCCAACAAAATTCGCAGGAGCCATTTTAAAAATTTGAGTAAGGGTATGCGTTATTATTAGAAAAAGCAAGCAGAGTTTCTTTCTCCGTGCATTCCATACCATTTGATCCTAGCACTAGACGCATGTATGCGTGTACTCGGGCACTTGTAACAGTTAAATCTACGCACATTCTTTCTCGGGTTTCAATCTTATTCCACATGAAAATTTCATATGCACGCGTTAGAAGCCAAACGGCGCGCTCAAACAAAACAGCCAGCGATACTGAAATATGTTACATTAAGCTGTGTACCTTTTCAATGTCTCGCCGCGATATAATAGTGGACGATTTATTGACGGACTGCGTGGCACAGTGCTTACTAGTCTGTATTCTTGTATGAAGGTTCTCCCGTCCGAAGCCCATTAACAGACCAAGAGGGCTTACATGACTTCTGCTCGAATTCATTATCATTTGACTTTTACAAGGCGACAACCTATGGTTTTGTGGTGTAAACTCGTCGAACCAAGACAGCATTGCACGTGAGGCTAAACTTGAAGTCAAACCAAAATGACGGCTAGTAGTTTCAAGGAGTGAAAAAGATGGGGACAGTGGTGAAACACTAATTCTTTCCTTCAGAGCCAAGGCCTCTTTAGTGGACATGTCACCGGTTGAGTTTAGAACACTTCGGCACTCTTTTTTGAGTCGTTTCGCCTCGAAATAGCGTCTCGCATAGCGTTGTATGACTTTGGTTGATTCCTGAATTCTCCGGAAATTTATCTTGGCTCTCCATCCTTTCCAAGCTAAACACGAAAGGAAAGTAACACGGGTTTTCTTCAGTAGATCCCTTTCTGAGAAATAGACCACGGTGTTTGATTTTAAAGCGATATAACATATTACTACTACTTCCTGTAATTATGGGGCTACGCTGCGCGCGTTGCGACCGCTGCGGGCTCTGTTATTAGTTTAAACAAATCTTTGCAAAGTGCCAACAGGGTCTTAATTTATCGCTTCTACGATCACCCATTTGTTTCTAATAAACGTATTCGAAACAATTTTCTCTGTAACAGTGGTTATACTATAGGGCTAATGTGCGGAGGGCCATTGGTTCGACTAAAATAGAGACTTACTCGCAGCAATTAATTGCAGTGGCAATTAGTTTTTTTCAACCTTCCGATATAGCTTCCTTAACGAAAAACCAAGATAGGTATTTCACCTGATTGGATTAAAACAGCTGCAGTCACCCTTCTCCGTTCGAGCCTCCTTTTGTGACGCCTCCAACACTTCTGGATTATCAACACTGATTTGGTGAGACATCTGTTTCGTACTTGCTCCAACCTCT